TTTATCATTTTGAATTACTAAAAATGTCTCAAATATTCACCAATTCAGAATTAGTTAAATAAACCTGTGCTACATGTATACAATGAAAAGAAATACGGGTTTCATAAAGGTTGAAGAAATACTATATGTTGCCATTGAAATACGCTTAAGATACATTCAGTGAAAAAAAACCTGTAATATAATTTTTTTGTGTGGAAAAAAGTCAGTCTCCACATATTAACATGATCTGAAAGAACCTTATCATATGGTTGCCTGTGATTGCATGTGGAAAATGGGGTTAGGGCTGGGGGGAGCCCCCAGTTCTGTGGGACACCCACACAGGGCCGCGGATAACCAGGTTCCCCACCCCCACCCGACCACACCCTGCCCGTCAGGAATTAAACTGCTGCTTTGGTTTCTCCGCTGACTCAGTCCGTCCCCTACTCTGGCGTAGCAAGAGTGGGGTGGGGCATGTTTGTAGAAAGTTTTAAAGACATAATCAAACAAAGTTGGTTTGCTTTATATTATCACCATATGCTTTCTAAACATGTCAGTGACAAAATACTGTCCCCTGCAGGGAGGGACCTCTCATGGCCCCTTCCTTTGGTAGGGGCCATGCTGCAGTTATGATTCATCTGGGCCCAAGTGCCCATGCGCCATTTGCTGGGCAAGGAGCTGCAGGGCATGCGCGGACAGCGGGTGACATTGGTCCTGCCTCCGAAGAGCTCATTCTGGAGCAGAAGCACTCGGCAGGCCCGCAGACACTGGAAGCCGCCCGTCTCTCTGGGGCTCAGCGGCCTGCCTGCACCATCCGCCCCCCAGAGCCGCCTGTTCGCCCGCTGCCCTGGGCAGGCTCTGTCCTCACCCCCATCCTCCCCCCTCACCTCGATGCCCTCATGCTGCCCCGAACCGAGGGCCTACTGGTTCTCCTCACCCTGGGGTGGGGGCAGGGGCGACTCTTTGATCCTTTGATCTTTCTCTGATGCCCACCTTTGCCTCTGTTTGTCTCCAGTGTCCAGATCACCATTCAACACTCCATTCGATTCCTGAGCGTTACCTGAAAACTCCTGTCCTAGAATCTCCCTTAAAACCTTGGAAATGTGCCTGGGGACAGACTGAAATGGCCGTCCGCAAGCCTTCAGCGGGGCAGTCAGTGACGCCCCTCTCTAGGGCCCGCAGAAGTGGTGCTTCCCTAGCAGGCTTCTCTGGAGAAGGGGTTCGCTGGGGAGGGCAGGGCCTTGCAGCATCAGCTTTAAAAATAAGCACTTCATGGAAGAGAAAGAAAAGCCATCCACCCAGCTGAACTTGAGCCTTGTAACAGAGAGGGGAGTGTGTGAGGAGAACAAGAGGGAGGTCCCATTAATTACCCTTAGAAGCAAAGGTAAAAGTTGAAGATTACGAGACCTATTTACAGGAGGAAATAGACCCATCATTGAGCCTAGAGAATGGAAGGATTGTTTAGGGCCAGAAAAGCGTCTCAATGTTCAGATTCCATTCTTTTTCTGGAGCTTTGGAGAGGAAGGTCATAGCTTGGGTTTGGAAGGTACACTTAGCAGTGGGCTCAGACTGAGAGGGGCTGTTGTCTTGGGCCCGGTGTTGGGCCCACATCCTGTCCCCACCCTGAGGGAACAGATCTGCAATCCTCTCTGGGAGCTGACGTGGGCTGGCTGGGGGTGAAGGGCGCCCCTGTGAGAGAGGCCCGTCCATTACCATCACAACGGCTGATGTCACAGACCCCACAGAGCAGCTGGGGCCCCAAAGGCAGGGTAACCCTAACCCCACTGGTGATTGAAACAGATAGAGGGGTAGCTCTCCCACACAATGCCCAGGCCCCCACTTCTCTCCTCCTCGTCCTCCCACTTCCTCGAGTCTTTGTCCCCTGGTCCCTCGGGCCCAGAGCCTCTCATTCCTGGCAAACACTGCCCATTAAATTAAAAACTGAGGCCTTTGGAAAAAGGGTCTGGCACTTTCTCTCCCTCCCTCCTCTTATCTGCCACTAACTGTTCCCCACCCTCATCAGCCTGGTGAGCAGATAAGAAGCCCAGCTACGGGAAAGGGGCCAGCTGGTGACTGCTTCACCTCTGTCTCTGGTTGGTTTTGTCTCCCCGCCTCAGAGCACCCCACAAGGCCGTGGCCCCTCTCTGCACAAGGCGAAAAGTTACACCAGGTCGAGCTCAGAAGATGTGGGAAATGCTCTGGAGCGTGTCTGGTTTCAGTTTGGCTTGGACAACCCAAGCCTTGGTACTGGACCCTCTCATTTGCAATCTGCCCAACCAGCTAGGATTGTCTGTATTGTCCCCCCCGAGGGGGACAGGAGTGCAGGGCCCTCAGGCCCCCTCGGCACCCTAACTGGGTTTGGGGAGTGACATCTAGGAATGATGGCTGCACCGGTCTTTGGGCATGAGCTGGGGTTCACGTAGGGCTCCTGGAAAAGGTGGGTGGCAGAGCCCCAGGTCCTGAAAAATCTCCTGTCATAACTATAGGCGGTGGGGAGAGAAGGGAACCGCTCAAAGCTTCTGGCGATCCAACACCGGGGATCTATGTTCCCAAAGAGATTTGTTTGTTACTCAGTATTTTAATCCCGAATCTTTCGTAGACATGGATGAAAGCCATGCCCCTTCTATCCAGTGAGCCTGTGCCTGTGCACACACACTCACACGGACGCACATATTCTAAGGGTTCATGGACCCTGGGTTAGGAATGCTTGAGCTCTAGAAGGAGGTGTCAGCTTTGGCACCAGGGTGAGACCAGGCAAGGTTCCAGGTGGCGCTGAGGAGCAGATCCCACCGGAAGGACTGGCTGTGCTCTGGGCCAGGCAGCTGGAACTTGGTTCAGCAGCAGGAGCTTGGGAGGCCTTGGCTCTACTGTTAAGCCCGTGTTGGTTTGGGGAGGGAAGGTCTGGAGGCAGAAACACCCCGGGCACTTCTGTCCAATGCTCAGCCCTAAGGGACGTTACGGAGTTGGAGGTGAGGGAGGGAAAGGCCTTAAAAACACGTGCTAGGTCCAGGTACTGGCTCATTTCCACTCCACAACCCACCACCCTGTAAATGTGGGACCACTATTCTGTTTTCACGGACATGGATTATGAGATTTAGGGAGCTGCTGAAGGTCATCCAGCCACTAAGTGGCATGGCAAGGACTGATGCCCAGGTCTCTCGGGCACCAAAGCCCAGTTGCAACTTGCAGGCTTCTTCCCATCCTATCCCCATGGCTTCCGTGCCAGCCTAGGGGACAAGCAGGCCAGGGGCTGTCACGCCACTTGCTGCCGTACTCACCAGGGTTCAGCTGTGCCCAGCAGGTCCTTGAATTCTCCTCCCAGCACATACCTGACTCAGGCCGATTTTTCTTCTAATGTGACCTGAAGCTAAAACACTCCCAGAGCTTAATGGAGTTTGAATTTCATTCCTTTAAGCAGCTAACCTACAACACCTGCTTTCTCTGTGCCATCTTTCTTGACCAGACTGGTTGCAATACCAGGCCATGATGGCTGCCCTTCTCCACACTGAGTTCTGGAACAGGCTCTCCCCACCAGCCCCAGACCAGCTTTGTTCAGGAGCATTCCACACCACTCTGTCCGTACTGGTACCTTTCCACGGCAGGGCTGGCATTCAAAACACATTGACTGGGCCCCAAGTTGCCTAGCCTGCTACGCCACATAATTCAGGCCTCTCCAAGGTCACTCTTCTTGATGAAAATGCCAGTGTTAGCTTATAGACAGGAAAACCGAAGCCCGTATTTGGATATGTCCACGGGCGGCCTGCCTGGCCTGCACGGTGGGCTTCTCCTCCCCGCCAGGCTCTGCTTGCTCTAGTTCCCGGGCAGTGCCCGCTGCCCAACCACGGCGGGAACACAAAACACCAGGAGACGGTACCGTGGCCTTTGAAACAGGTGTACAGGCTTCCTTGTTTAACAGCAGTTAAAAGAGGGGAATGTACAGGACGAGAAACATGCTCTTTTCACACAGGAGGTTTTCCAACAACCACGAGGCCCGTCTGCGTCAGTAGCTTTACTAGCGAGTGTTATAAAAATTCCCTTTAGAGCTAAAAATGGACTCTCCTAAATTTCCTCAGTAAATGTGCGACTGTTTGTGCAAAATAAAAAGGCCATTTCCAACACATTAGGGAAAAGTAATTGCAATTCAGGCAAAAAATAAAAATAAAAAGAAGGAAAAAAGAGGCAAAGGAAGCAGACGGGAGCAGAGCCCTGGGAGGAGGGAGGCTGAGGTGGGGGTTTCTGCAGCTGGCCCCAGGGCGTGTGCTCAGGGGCCTCATGAGGAAGGTCATGGCCAATGCCACTCTTGGGGGTAAAGGGCCCTGGGTCCGGGACTGGCTGAGCAAGCACATGTCCAGGTGCAGCGGAGCTGGTGCAGAGGCCTGGGGGACTGCCAGGCCTGGTAGCCAAGGGCAACGCTGGGGAGCTTGGCACCCCCCCTCTGGAAGCTTTCAGTCACTTTGCCAACAGGGGCTCTGCTGGTTCCAATCCCCAGGCCCTGGTTTTCCCCACCCACCAACAGCTTCATTTACAAGCTACTCGAAGGGGTTTTCCTATGCACGTTAAAGCTCTGCACGCTCCCTCTCTTACCACTGAAACCACTCGGGTCCCAAGCCAGGGACATGAACCCAGGATCCCCAAGAACTCGGTCAGGGGTCCGTGCCAACTAGAAGGTGGGCAGGCTTCCAGCCACCATGTTCTCGCCCCCTTCCTGTGGCCTCCAGGCTGACCTGGCTGGGGACCTACTTCACCCACCCAAACAAGTGGGTGCCGCTGGTCCCTGTTTTGTTCCCTTCCCCTGACAGCTTGGCAGCAGCACGCGGGTTCCGTCAGGGCGACGGAAGGCAGACTGAGAGGGAAGGAGAGCTACCTCGGGGTCGGAACAGGCCTCTTCCTCAGAGGGACTTCTCTGGGTGAGGTGAGGGCCACCCTCATCTGTCGGCCCTGTGCACTGAGTTCTCTCTAGCACAGTTTTTCCTGGGGCACAGGTTTGAGACCAGACCAGCGATGCTGAAAAAAGACAAAAATCGTGATATACTGAAGAGTTGCTTCATTCTCCCTTCAGTGCCTCAGCACTTGGAGCTGAAGGGACCTTGCTGCCAACTGGAGGCTTGTGGAGGAGGGTGTTTGGGCCTTTTCTAAACAATAGGACTTCAGATTCATGTAGTCACTTATCACATTTTCAATAAAATCCAAGGCTTGGGAGACGGCATCTGGGGTTTCCCCACACGGGCCCCTGCTTCTCCCTGGCCCTTGAAGTTCTGGGCAGCAACACTCCCCCCTGACCCTCATCCTAAGACCCTGGCCCCACTGCCCAGTCCCCAGGAAGGGCCTCAGGAGGCACCTGCAAGCTCACGTGCGGTCCGGTGCCCCCAGCTCAGAGGGGGCTGCCTGCCTGTGTGCACATTCTCTCCCTGTGGTTTTCAAGTTGTGCTGAGTTCAGGAGGGGTTGGGGGAGGGGATGAAGAAGGAAGCACTGCCCTCCCCAGAAGCAACTTGGTGGCTGACAAAGGCAATGAGGAATTCTGTTTGATGAGTGTCTCCTCCCACTAACCCACGCTGAAAGTACCCGTGCGGCTTATTTGTAATTGTTTGGTGATGCCCGACTGAGCTCTTGTCAGTAGCCATAATAGCATCTTCCCACAGTGTCTTAAAGTGCTGGTTCCTCCGACTGACCTCACAGCAAAGCCCTTGCATTAAGTCTAGGGGCGCATCTGGGACAGTGGGACAGTCTCCAAGTCAGCTGGTTCCAGTTCCCTGTGCAAACTCCAGAGCCTGGGGGATAAGGTTATAGACACTCTTTCTCAGACAAGGCCAAAAGGTGGCCGTGGGGATCTCGGAGGAGGATGGAAGCCTTGGGCCTGAGCGAGAGCGTCATACTCTCCAGGATATGACTCAGAGGGACAGTTGGGCCGGAGGCAATGAATCCCAACCTGTGCTGGCCGAGTCTCCTTCATGGTGACAGTGGCCCCATCACGAAAGGCACCCAGTCCAGCTGTGGCTGCCCCCACAGGGCAGACTTTCCTGGTGACTTTCCTTTAAAGATGGTGGCCAGAAAGCTGATTTTTAACACACAGAGGAACAATGTCGAGTAGTCTTCAGGTGTTCCCGAAGGGTAAAGTAAGGGCTTCCAGAGTCTGACCTACCCCAGCGGGGCTCCCACAGGAGGCCAGGTCTGAGGCTCTCTGTGAGGACCTACATACAGTCCTAACTGGTGACCTACGCCCTGAACCAAGTGTCCCGACCCTGAAAGAGGAAGAGATGAATGGGGAAGGGACTGAGGCTCCGATTCCATTCACCCTGACCTTCTGTGGGGTGACTGGCAGTCAGGCATGGGGCCCATTTGTACCCTGCGCACTCCGTTCTGCCCTGCCACAGGAAGTCAGTGGTCAGAGCGCTGGGGCAGACCTGGGCTACAGAAACAGGTGTCCAAAGGGGACCAGGGTGGCGCTGTGGCCGTGTCACATGCCGCACTTGTGCACTAGCTGGTGGCAGTCCCCAGGCTGAGATGCGCCCCCAGGAGCACGGGCTGCTCTGTAGCATACCGAACAGTGTGCTGTCTAGGCCCTCTCCGCACATCCCAAAGAACCAGCCTCCCCTTGGTGGTGAATGGGGTGCCCAGGAGTGAACGGAATGCACCGTACTATCCTATGACGGGCTCACCTTACCCCAGGGCCAAGTGCCCATTTGCGTGTGTGGTCCTGGGCCCCGGGCCTGGGCTCTGTGGGTGAAAGCTGGCCCATCGCACTGGGATGGGCGACCACTGTCCCTAGGATAACACAGACAGTGTAGCAGTAACTCCCCTGGGTCCCAGCCTAGTAATATCTCATATGCTTGCTTCCTCTTGTGCCTCTATTACTATAGGGAAAGGTTATGCGAATACTGTACATAGGTTATTAAAAAAATACATTTTCTCTCTCTGAAGAAGAATGCACAAATGCAGGGCCAGCCAGGGCCGGGTCCCGGGCTGCGGGGCTGCAGCGAGCAGCCTCTGAGGCTCCAGGCCGGCCTTCAGGAGTGGTGGCTGCTGATGAGTCCGCGGAGCTGCTTGGCCACTGTGTCAATCAACTTCTGCTTGTCTCGCTCATTTTTACGAAACTGTGCAAACATGTTGTTCTTGCGGCTGGTGTCCTTCATCCTAAACAGGAAAGGACAGAGAGAGGGCAAGTGTTTGAGGAGACAGTGGTAGAAGGGGAATCAGCAGGAGGTGGGCTGGCAGGGTGGGCCTTAGCTGCCACCCACAGTGGACGTTCCAGAACATTCCCATTGTCATGCTTATACTTATCCGTTGTTCAGGAAGCTGCCCTGCTGACACCCCCAGTCCTCCCAAATTCAGTCACCTTTGCAAATAGTCAAGAGCCAGCTATAGAGGGGCTAACCTCCTGATGATCCACACCCACCTACCCACTTCATTGCCTTCCACCTGCAGGTACGCACCTGTTATAGGTAGGTACCTGGGATGTATAATAGCAGTGATGGTCAAAGCCTCTTACAGAATATCCAGGATCTACTTATCAACTCATAATCCTACTTAATCCTGTGAAACCTTAAAGCTGATATTTGAAAGGTAAAGCGAAAAACACTCTTAACAAGCAATTCCAGGAGGACATGAATAGCAAAGCCACTGTGTAATTCTCACCCTCACTATAGCTGGTGACACTGTTCCATCGCTAACAAAATTGAGGGCTTGAGTGATCTCTTTTCTTTTGTCTCAGAGTAAGGACCTAGGGTTGGGGAGGTGGCAAAGATGACATGGTGCTGAGAAAAGCAAATGACAAACAGGCCAGACCATTTTCCCACTTTATGCATAAACCAGGCCCTGAGGCAAGAGAAGCCCCCAAGTTCTCAATGGCTGTCTATAGCCTCAAGCCTTTGGCCTTCAGAGACCTTTTTATTACTAGGCCACATTAAAGTCCCAGAGCACACTCCTAGTTTATTCCTAGAGCACAAACCACGGGCAGCTCTGGCCAGTGTTCTGTCCGATACAGAGCCATATTGGGGAGCAGGCAGGAGGAGGGCCAAGGCCAGGCTGAAGCTGTCACCGGATTCCCGGAGTCTGACTCCACTGCTGCAGTGGGACCCAGGAATCCTCAAGGCACGGCAGCGGGCCCACGCACGACCCCTGACAGCCGCTGGTCACTGTGGACGTTGCCCCAGCCTCTGCATGCCACCCTCTAGCCCTCAGCTAGTCCTGGTGTTACAGAACCGAGAACACGGCCCCGACCAACTTCTCCCTGGGGCTGGGGTCCACTGGTTTTCACCTCCACTGCTGTCTGACCTGAGGCTCCCTGAGCTGCACGGAGACGGGCCAGATGAGGGGAGGCCAGAAGCCTGGCACCCGGAGCAAACTCCTCCCAGGCACACTCCCTCGGGCCTTTGGCCACTCCTGGCCCACTGTGTTCTGTGAGGTGGCCCTGTGCAGAGGGGCCTTGTGCAGGGGCCAGTGGCCAGAAGGCCAGAGATCCCACAGGGCGTTTGCATCCCCATGTGAGAGGTTCTGATGAGCACCATCGCTGTGTGGCTCTGGCTGACTTCTCTCTCTGATCTAAACTTAAGGGCGTCCAGGCTGGAATTACTCCCTAAGCAAACTGAGAACCCTGCACAGAAGGTACAGCCCCTGCTTGAGGAGGCCTGTGTTTGGAGGGAAGGAGAGGTAACAGGTTCAGAGGGTCTGGTTGAAAAGAAAGAATGAGAGGCCTCAAGGCAGTGGCGAGTGATGAACTCAGTCCCCTCCATGTTAATAGCACAATTCCATTTGTAGGACTGGCCTGCTTTGAGATTATTTATCCCAGAGAAGGATTCCTTTTCATTTCTTAATTATGCTATAAATCTAAACAAAATGAACACAAAATAAAAAGAAAGAAGAAAGGAAGAAAAACATTTCCTACATTTAGAGAACATTTAATTTTACATCCTATGGGATCACTACTTTATGACTCAGTCAGCCCAGACAAGCCGCTGGAGCCGGCTCTCTGCCCTGCGGGGAAGCCCTCGAGGTCACTCTGAGCCTCGGAGGTTAGGGTTTCCCGGCCATCGGCTCCTGGAGTTGGGGTCACCTGACAGATAAACTCCGGTACCCCAGGGGCTGAGGGAAGCATGCTGGAATGCCCCCAAACCCAAGGAGAACCCTCCCACTGCCTGTCTATTCTGTAAGACCAGGCTCCTGATTTGCTTTTGCTACGGCCACCTCCTGATGACACAGGAGCACCTTCTCTTTCCTGAATGTCCTCGTCAGGCCTTTGAGTCTTGCAGATCTCACCCCGTTGAGTGGTGCCAGGACGGAAAGGGGAGCGTCGAGCTCTGGTGGGAGCGACGGCTGTGGGGAAGCAGCAGGAGGGGAGGGGCAAATTCCTGTGGGGCTGGGAACACAGAACCTGGGGTGGCCCTTGGCTCAGCTGTGTCTGAAAGGAGGCTTTGAAACCCTGCTGTTTGCCAGGGCTGAGCACATGGCTTTGTTACTAGCTAGGCCCCAGACTGCTTCAGAGAGGCTGAGTATTCTACCCTATTGTTGATCCACAGCAAGTGGAGGAGCCAGTCCTTCCTGGTAAATGGCTGAAAGAGTTTTCCATGGGAGACACAGTTCCAGATCTTACAGTCAGGAGCCTCCCCGCCAGGAGGAGGGGGCCTGCCGAGTTCCCTTCAGTCAGGCTGAATTTCAGACCTCACACTAGCAAGAGGACTGCATGTATCAGGAAGCTGATGACGGAAAATCCCTGCCACTACTCCCAGCCCCAAAGGAATTGGTAAGCCAAGGGTCACTCTAAGGACCAAGGAGAGGAGCCAGCCAGCTGGCGGGTACCAGGCTGGTTTAGTGGATATTAGTGTGTCAGGGTGGGGACAACTCACGGGGCGGGGATTTTAGTGTGATCGTTAGTGTCGGTGAGGAAGTCAGAAGGACTTGCCTCAAAGTGATGGAAAAGGCCCAAGTGGATAATATACTTACTCTCTAGATATCCTGGGGAGGAAGGTCATTGAAAGAGAGATCCATGGGAAACAAAGTTAAAATGGAAACATCAGTCTCTGTCCCGAGCTGGACAAAGTCGCCCTCCGGGTCCTTGGTTTCCTGGCTCCGAACACCTGCCTCTGCATTCCGCTCCGGCCCACGCCCCACCTCCTCCCCTTCTGAACCCCTGCCCCGCTGCACAGTGGGAAGGATACACCTCAGCCCCCCTGCGTAAGGCTCCGTTCTGACCTCCTAGACTCTAATCCTCACTTTCCCGGGACTTGAGACTTCTGTGACTGGTCATACGCATAGACGTATGACATGGCCTGGACTTAGGATGCTCTTCTAAGAAGCTGGGGGTGGGGAGGGGTTAGCTAGTTTGGAGACAAGAAAAAGCTTCCCTTTTACATGGGTCTTGGTCTGTCCCCCAGGTCAGCAAACAGCAGAGCCAGGCTGCAATGCACAGCTGATCCCAGCCTCTGGACTGCTCCGGAGCTGGCTAACCCAATCTCAGTGGTAGCAACCTTTGCTGCCTAGTGACTACGTAAGGCAAGAATCAGATACCTTTTCCAATGTAGCTTCCTCAGAACAGTCAGCACAGTAAAACTCAGTTTGTCAGGGAGTGGGTTCTGGTGCAGGTTTCAGTAAATCTAAGAACTTCTCTGCTAAAAAATGAAGAGGCCACCTGCTCCGTGGGGCATTCCTTCCATCCTCACCCTCCAGAGGGCAGGGCCAGCCTCACACTGTCCACCAAACTAGGGCATCTTTCCTTCTTCTCTTGCCATCTCCAGTTCAGGATATGTTGCCCCATTTGGCTCCAGTGTTGATGGAGTTCTGCTGATTCCTACTTGGCCTAGCTTGTGGGTGTTGTGAATTAAGAGGCCGCAAGAAGATTGGCCTGCCAAACCCAATGATGGAGACTACTGGAGCACCTACAGCAACTTGAGGAACAGGGCCTCTCTACAGTCTTTTTCAGGTACTGGCGAAGGTAAACGGATCCTCTCTACCACCCCCGCCCCCAGCCCCATCTCCCCAATTCCCGTACCAGAGCCCGTACTCACTTCTCCAGCAGGGTCAGCGCTGTCACTGGGTTTACCCGGAGGTACTTGCAGTTGGGCTGGCCATAGTCCGCAAGGTAGGTCGACCAATCCCACTGGATGAAAAGATCCAAAAGCTGCAAAACATCCAAATCCCCACCCCAGGAATTAATCAGACAGGCAAGACAAACCCCTTAGAAGCCTTCAGAATCCCTCACTACCAGCTAATAGCAGATTTGGAAAACAAATAAAAATGTAATAAGAGATAGAATGGTTAAAACTGTAAGGCAACTGGGAAAATAAATGAGTAACCATTAGCAGTCAGAGTCACCTCCGCCACAAGCACTGTGACGAAGCCGAAGCGACCTGCCGGCAGCTCCCAGGGACAGGCCTGCACATGGCCTGACGCCGGGCTGAGTCAAGCACAAGACCGTCACAGCGCTCACTCATCCATGCCACAAGTCCTCCTCGAGGGCCTTCCTCGGTCAAGCCCCATCCTGGGAGCCCAGACTCCAACAGCGAACACACAGAGCTGGGTGTGGTCCAGGGCCAAGAGGACGGTCCTACGAGCTGTCGGGTTAAAAGGTCTGGGTTCAACTGCCAGTTTCATGTCTTGCTGTGTCGATTTTGCCCAAGTTACTCAGCTGATACACACACACACTCATGCCTGTCAACAAACAGGACACACAGACAACACAGAAATGCTATGTGAAAGGGCCACATAGCATCTGCATGAGGCAGCCCCTGTCACACCTGAGTAGGTGCTGGCTAAGCAGACGGAAACCAGGGTCTGAAACCAGGGCCTGGGGGTCAGGCCGAGCAGCAGCTGTGACTGCGGGTGCAGACCCTGGAACCCAGTTTTTGAGCGTCGAGGGGAGTACCAGGAGCTTGGCGTGTATTTATAAGATAATGAGAGCTTTCTGAAGGTCAGCTTCGTTCTGACGCAGGAGATTTTGACTTACAAAAACTGAGCACATTCTGTCAAAGGCTTTGCTTCCCAGCCAGTTAGGTTTTTTTGTCTTTCTGAGAGGCAAGCACATAAGTAAATGGCTGTCTCTGTGTGCAGGGCAAAGGCAGAGAGGCCTGGAACCAGTGCAGTGCTGGAGCCGGGGCTCCAGGCACCCCTCCCCGGCTGTAACCACCGTGCAGCCGGCAGGATGGGAACTGGCTGAAGTCCCACGCTTAAAACTGAGAAAAGCCCCTACACCCTCAGCCAAGAAAGAGGTGCTAAGAATGAGGGGAAGGGGCGAGAGACAAACAGACACGTTGGTGGGTCTGGGTCGGTGTGGTCCAAAGGGCCCCCTCAGGGCCTCTTTCAGCCAGGCCGATTTCAGTCGGCTGGTGGACAGGCTCTGGCCACTTCCTTTGCTGCCCTCGGGCCTCATGGACCTCTCCTTTAGATGAGCAGCTTCCCGGACTGCCTGCCCTGCCCTTGGGACTTCTGTCCGACAGTGTCCAAAGACACTCAGGTAGCTCCTCTGCACTCGCCCCCAGGAAGGAGAACGGACGCGCAGAGCGGCCCTCGTTCTCAAGCCTTCCCAGTACTGTGCTTTACAACTACGACCACGCTTTCCCCCAGTCCCAGGGGAAAACCACGAAAAGTAGTAGTATTTTCTCAATTACATTTTTTTCTCTGAAAAATTTGGAAAACCCTGGAGAGACTTTTTACTGTTTGCATCCTATGGAGCTAAAAAAAAAAAAAAAAGAAAAGAAAATATATAACAAATAAGTTTAATTAGAAAAATCTGAAAACCGGGTTTCTTAAAACTATTTTTGGCATCATTTTCCAGGTGTGGACATATACATTCATTTCCTGAAACTCCCTTCTCCACTAATGAATTCCTAATTTCTGTGGTGGAATTAATGGTTGTCAGTATTTTCTGATTTATTGCAAAGAGCACCATGTTTTCCTGGCTGAGGAAACCTGGGTAAATCACAGGCAGGTTGTGGAGGGCAGTTCAAGACTTAACTCCAGGGTTTTCTATCTTTTATCTTCTGCCAAAGCCCCTAAATGTTCTCGGGTGACAAGCTACCTGGCTGACCTGCTCTGGGTTGGAGACTCCGCACGCAGTTAGGCGTGGCCAGCAGGAGCCCAGGGCGTGAGCACACTGGGTCTGTGTCCACCGCGAGATGCGCAAGTGCAGCCCAGACTTAGGTCCCCCCACCTCCTCTGAGAGGGACGCACACAGGCTGGGGTGGGCTGCTGGGGGTGCAGGTCTGCTGCATCCCGAAGGACAGTCAGAGTAGGAGGCCAAGGAGGCCAGCTGCCTCTGCTGCAGCACAGTTGCTTGACTTCCACACCGCGACATTTCGAAGGTAAGTCAGGCCCCCCAGCCTGGTTCCCTACTTACAATGGCCCCCTTAGGTCTCAATAAAGTGTATCCCAAGGATGCAGAGCATTCAGTCATCACTAACAAAACGATTCCAAACCTATTAGAAAGTTGCAAGAGTAAGCACAGTAGAAAGAATACTATGATCCCCGCCCCCAGACCTGTGCATTGTCAGCGCTTTACCCACACGCTCCGTCACTTGTATCCTTTCTCTTTCCACACATGTGCACACATGACATTTCTTTTCTGGATCTCTTGAGAGTAAATACATTGTTCTGGCCCTTTTTTCTCAAATACTTCAGTGCTGCTAAGAATTAGAGATTCTTTTACACGGTATAGTTTTCAACTTCAGTAAATTTAATACTGTTAAGTGTCTACATTCTAACTTTGTAAATCTACCCAATAATGTCCTACACAGTCTTCTTTTCTGCCTCCCCCTCCCTTAGTTTTGGTTTTTCTAATGCCCTTCTGGCCAGAATACCACAGAAGCGATGCTGTGCCCTCCTCAGGGTGGCACGTCTGGAGGACTCAGTGCTTGTTCGTCTCTCATTGGTCATGTTGATTTTGATCACTTTGTCTAGGTGTTGTCTGATTTCTCCACTGCCTAGGCGTGTCCTGAGCTGTCAGGAGGGCCCATGGTCAAGGGCTGGGTTTGGCTGGTGAAGCCTGGTGAGCCTGGATGGGCTGGGCACCTTGCTAACACAACCACAACTAGTTTTTCCTATGCAATTAGTTTCCTTGGCAACTAGTAAGCAACTGAGGAGACAATTTAAGACCAGGCAAACAGAGTGCTCCTAACTGAAATTTCCCCTTAGATTTAGCCTTCATTGAAGATTCTTGTCTGAGCCAGTCTTTCCTACAATGGCTGCAAACTAAGGACATTCTACTTCATCTTCCTTCCACATTTACCAGGGGTCACTCAGCATTCCACTGTGAGCAGGTGCTCTCTCTCCCTGCTCCCCCATTCATTTACCACGTTATTACTGGCATGGATTTGTGGTTTCCCATTTTCTAAATGCCTTATACTTATGACTATACCTAATTATTTTGACCTCTAACTGTGTCAGATTTGGCAAGTGGGAGCCCCTTCTACCTGGAGCCTAGTCCCTGTGACACGCATCACCACTTTGTCAAGCAGTTCCTTGCTTTCTGGCACGGGAAAGTGTTGCAGGCTCACCTGGCACCTGCCATGCCTTGGCCCTGCAGTCGGCCATCTCTCTGAAGGGCCCCAGTTTCTCTTAGAGGAATGTTACTAGAGATGGAGGTGTGGGTACCAAGTGTGCTCACTGCTACGGGAGTGTCTTTTGTCATTGCGACTGGGGGGCAGTTGGCAGGCAGAGTTAGGAGAGATATGCCTATAAATACACATATGTATGCATATTCACAGGCGCACATGTGTGCTTATACAAGCGTGTGCACGTGTTTTTAGAAATCATGAGTTTGCAACAATACCTCCATTCTAGCTGTCCTCCTAGAGTTCTTCCTCGCCCTCCTCCAACCCACGCATGTACGTGCTTCCCCAGCGAGAAGCCCGGCTCGCGGCGCCACCCCTCGGGTACTCTTTGGCCCCTCCCACCATATGTCTGTACTAGGTTCAGAGTTGTCTGTGCCCACCACTACCAGAAATGCCGACTAAAACAAAGGAGCCTGAATTCGTTTGCAGTTCTTTCTCCCAACCCAAGACCGAATGTGTATAATCAATTCTGCGTTCACAAATCCCTTGGGTTGGTTCTTTTTTTTTGGTTCCCTTCAGTTTAGTTATGGGAGTCACCTAAATATGATTAGGTTCATTTGTTTCCAATTGCTTTTAGTTTTAAGCTCCTCTCTCCCATCCTTGTTAACTTAATTTTTTAAATATGTAGGACATTACCAGGCTTCTAACAGTCAAAACTATCCACACAAAAATTAACTTAGAGAAGTCATTCCTTCCCTGGCTGTACCCCTTTCACCCCAATTCTTTCCATGCCTGTCAGAGCCAACTCCATCATTTTTGGGTTTGTCTTTCCCATGATTCTGTGTGTACAGATCAGCTGATACACGGACACTTTCTTATCTCCCCTTCTCTGTCACATAAGCAGCGTGCTATACACGTACTTTAAAGCACCTTACTTCTTGATGTTTACAAGTAGGTGGTGGGCAGAGAAGGAAAAAGAAGATACTCAGAGGTGGGAGACTGAACTTAAGATCACTATTCTCCAAACTCTGAGCGTCACTTTTGCAGTTTTTACCACATCCTCATGCTGTGTGGCTTAGTATTTACTTAACTTTGTTTTCTCTGTATTGATTCATGTTTTGATCGTAAGAAAAATGTAAAAGGACATTTTACATCACCGTTATAAATGAGAAACGACTCTCGCTTGCCATAAATAAGAGGTAACTTAGATACTAACACCCAGATGAGATGTTCTCTTTGTTATCGCCAAGACTAAAAATAAACAGCGTGTTCACAACGTGATGTAGTGTTTGATGGTGCATCTGGGTACTACGCAGACCTGTACCTGAGTTACAACTTCACATGCTCTTCTGCACCTCTGGTGTTCATCCACCCTGTGTTTTGGAATCAGTGTATGACTTCAGCCAAGACTCGAGTGATGACTGTGTGCCTGGAATAGAGCTAAGTGGTCGGTGTGTACAAAGAAGTACTTAGAAGTTTCAGCCATGCATCTGTCTCATTATGAGAGCAGGTCAGTGCACACATGGGCCTGTGTCCTGAGCTGACAGGAGGCCCACGGTCAAGGGGTGGGTTTGGCTGGAGAGGCCTGGTGAGCCTGGAAGGGCGGGGCACCTTTCCAACACAGCCGCGAGGG